TTCACTACACAACCCTGACCAACACGGTAAAGTTTTCCTAAGATAACTTCTCAAACAGAAAACTCAATTAGAAAGTAAACCTGAAGTGATTCAATGGAAATTAATAATATGTAAGAGTAGGGACAGTCTGCAGTGTTTAGATATGCTAGAGCCACTACTTGCAAATAGGGGGCAACATAACAACCAGATACAGAAGAAGCAACATAATTTTTTTTAGTGAGAGCCACTCAGCCCTTCAAATTTTTTTTATAATTTACTGACTTTTTTAGATGGCGAATTATTTTTCGTAACCATATCTACAATACCATTCAATACACAACAACACAATACTTTTTGCATGCATACGAAATTATATGCAATGATATGGTACGACATGATACGATTCACATGGGAACAATACTTTGTTATAGTAGGGTGACCATAATCTGAAAAGTTCCCCAAATTCCCCAAAAAGAGGACAGGACTACGCGGGGGCGGAGTCACAAAGTTGCACGTAGTTAATTTGAGAGTTTTTCAGGTCGGGTCGTTTGTTTTTTACGCACTTCTAACTTATTAAGTCCAAGCGTTACAAACTCAAAACTTTCAATACAAAACCCCGGACATTTGAAGGAGTTTATCAACTTCCCCGGACAAGGCCAGACAAGGACAGATATCCCCCAAAAAAGAGGGTTATATGATACAATACAATATGATCCACATGGCGAAGATATGATACGACAGAATATGTGGTACAATATGATATGGTATGTCTCGCACGAGTACGATAGATTACAATACAGTACAATACAAATTGGTGCTGAGTACCGATCCATAAAACAAACCAACAACACAATGATAAAAGCCAACAATAACCCTCATGCAACCAGAGAACACACACCAAAGACACGACAGGCATACAAGCAACATATTTATATAAAACCACCACCAATACCTTTGGTGCCCAGCAGTTGGCCAAACTTTGTAAATCAGTGCCTTGGTAAAACCTACCTAATAATTGATCAGTACAAGACCTTGAGCTCCATTGTTTTAACTCAGTTCAATAAAGTCTACTGCACTTAAAGGCGTATTTTAATGTTCGCAACAGACAGGAAATCTTACCTTCAGAACTTGGTCCACGTTGTCTCTCACAAGAAGAAAACCAAAGTTCTCAAGAATGACTGGATATTAACTGAATAACTGCACTTCACTTTTGTTACTCGAAGTTAACTTTGAGGTTGAGAACATAATAAAAATCGGGGATATTTGGGGTCCAAACACGGTAGAAAGATGATAGAAATGCTCAGGGTGACACAGATAACTGAGTTAAACCTCAAGTGGGCAAAGCTTGAGATGTCATTATCAGCTGAGTGTTCAGGTGAGATTACTTTATCTCGACTTGACAGGTCAGAATTCCAAGAATTCCTAAATGAAGTTGTATGTCTGCGCCGTGCGATACTGACTTCAGTTTTTTTTTTTCTTTTGGGGGAGGGGGAGCACACTTTATCTCAATGGATTTATTTAACAAAGCAGCTTAGCTCTCGCTCCAGGCTGAAAGGAAGTGGAGAGAACTGGAATCATGTAAGGGACTGGGGATTTGCTAGCATGATTTGTGCATTTTGTTTGATTTTTTCTCCCTGGAAAGTAATTAAAGCTTGACATGAGCGCGCGGAAAATCTCAGCCAATCACTCCTGTGTGTGTGATGTGATGTGATGTGTGTCGCCAGCACTTACATTCCTAATTACACTTTAACTGTGTCTCTTTTGGAATATAATAAAAGCAAAACACTTTCGGTGCCACTCAGCCACAGTCGGAGACGGCGGACGTGCTGGCAGGAACAACCCCACTGATGGACGTGTTTAATTAGCAAGCCCTGACACTCACAGAGAGGGTTTTTTTTTTTTTTTTTTTTTCCCCAGCATTTCATTCACTCTGAACTGCTTCTGATTGGGTCAACTCCATTTCAGCAACGTCCCAAATCTGCCCATTTAATGTTCTTGGCTTAAAGTCACGCGAAATAACAGCCTCCACAAGCGTGACGGAGAGAAATATGTGACGAGCGTTGAAGAAGAAGAGTTTTTCTTAATTTGGTTCAACAATTTTACTTTATTCCAATTTAATCTGACCTCAAGGGTTTTCAAATTTAGAGCAATTATTACTCTTTTTACATTCATTTCTCACTCGAAACGCCTCGAAGTTCAAAGAGGAAATGTCCTTGGATCTCCTTTGGTGCTGCCCTCCTTCATTATGTCTTCATCCGTACACGAAAGAAGAATACTCAAAATACAAACGACGACTCCTGCCGGTGTTGACGACTCATTAGACGGCTGGATTTCCTGCGTTTTCATGGGTTTTCCTGGTCCCCTCCCCCCGCCGCCTTATCCCCACACGCCGGCAAATTTGGCACGGGCGAAAGGGAAGGAAACGGCGGGTTTTAGGGGGGAAAAATCTTATTAAACAAATTCTCTAAAGCATTGAGACCAACTGGTGTGGAGTGCGCTGATAACAGCTGGCCATTTTGGAGTGTCACCTCGCTTGGCAGCTGCGCCAGCGGACAGAGAGAGAGAGAGAGAAAGAGAGAGGGAGAAAATGTTTTAATGGCTCTGGCCCGCAGATTTGAACACTCTTATTTTGGCAACTTTTTAATTATCTCCAAATGAATGGATTGATAGGAATGGTTTTAACAGGAAAGAGATAGGGAGGCGTTCTGTTGTGGCGCCTTTTTCTTCTCCTTGTGGAAAGATGTTTCAGCAAGATGGCCTTTCGGCGAAATTGTTTGAAAGTTTTGAGGGCAGCTTTGCTAATGAGAAATTTAATCAAACTCTTTTGGGAAATTTCACTTTACATGTCGGATAGAACTTAAGGCGAAACGCAACATCAAGCAACGCGCCTCCCTTTAATTTCTGCGTTTAAACACTGCGTGATATCCCCTGTTTGTGTTTCCTCAGATGGAGCATCAAAGCTGAATGTACAATTCTCGAGCTGTAAAGTAAAAAATGTCATGTTGAAATTACAGGGAGCTAAATCAGGCTGCTTTTTGAAGGTCTATTGTAGTAGGAAAAGGAAGCCTATTAGTCACTCCAGATGTCAGCCAAGTCGGTAACCAAAAAAAAAGCTCGACGAGAAGAAACCCTGCAGATGTAAAAATCAAACAACCTCCAAGAAACTTCGGCAAAATGAATAAAATGGGACTGGAAATAGTGACTTTATGGAGGATAAAAGGAGTTAATTAAACAGATTTTTTATCTTGATAGTTCAGTTGAGCCAGGCCAGGAGTGGTCAAGTATTTTGCTTTTCCTTTTTTTATGTAAATAAAACATGTATTAGAATTAAACATGAGTGGGAACAAACTCTCCACAGAGCATGTGAGTAAAAACGGGCTAATCAAGAATCACACACTTCAAATATGAATGTTAATGCGACATTTACCATTCTCTTTCTGAATATCTGCGGAGTGGAGATGAACTATAACATCAGTAGACTGTACAGAAATTAAACGGGAAAATATACATCAAAATGGAAGTCTAACGTCTTTGCATTTAATTGACTTATATATCATAACGCCTCTTTCACACGAGTAATTTCAGCGAATTGATGCCCAATATTACAAAAAGCTATAAAAGTACATCATTCCTGGGAAATGAAAAGCAAAAAAAATCTAAAAGTTGACCCCCTACGTTTTCGATCATTAAAGCCTATTATTTCTGAGAATCTAAAATGAAGCCCATGATGTTGGAAACTGAGGAACAAAAGATCTTAAAGTTTACCCCCCGCCCACATTTCTGAAAACTGAAGTCCATCATTAGGGAAATTTGAGCTTGCAATCTTAAAAACGCACGAAAAAAAACAAATAGAAGAGCATCACTCCTAAAAATAGAGGTATGTACATTTATGGAAGTTGTAGCCGAAAGTTTCTAAAAAAACTGAAACCCAATTTGGTCCAAAGTTCTGGGATATTAAAGTACAACATTTTCAGTATCAAAATTCAAACTCTTTAAGAATTGAAGCTTTAGTTTTAAAAATTTGAGAATGGAGGCACATAACTTTAGAAACTAGATATTCAGGTTAAAACCAAAACAATCCTAACAATTAAAGCCAGGTATTTTGAAATATGAGGATGGCATGTTTAAAAACTTTAGCCTAAAATTTCAAAAAAATTGTGCTGTACATAACTAGACAAAACAACAAGATGAAAAAAAAAAACAATCAAAAAACAATTAAAACAATGGATAAAATAAAAGCAGAATTAAAAGTAAAATATATTTTCACTGTTTTTAAAAACTAATTTAAAAACATAGAAACTAAAAACTAAAAACAAACCATAAAACATTAAAACAGGAGCCGAGTCTCATGCGGGGTTAAAAGCCAATGAATAAAAATGGGTTTTAAGACGACTTTTAAAAATGGACTTTTTAAATTTGGAGGGGTAGCTCATTCCATAACTTTGGGACGATGTTACACACCAGACAAAAATGTGTAAGAGGAAAAAAAAACAACAACAACAAAAAAAAAAACAGCCTGACCCAGTGGTTCTAAAATCCAGTCCTCGAGCCGCCCCATCCGGCATGTTTTGGATGTTTCTCTGCTCCAACACACCTGATTCAAATCATCAGCTCGTTATCAAGCTCTGAAATAGCTCAATAACGAGCTGATCATTTGAATCAGGTGTGTTGAGAACCACTGGCCTAACCCAACATCACCCTGCTTTGCTTTTTAAATAGCCATTTGTTAACAGACAGTACAAAGAATATATTAAATACCCAGTTTTACAGTAATGGAGTTTACATCAGCAGGAAATGTCCAATTTTAATCACCGGGCCTCTAAATGAGTCCCCATATGGAAGTAAATAAAAGTAAGTTACCGTTAAAAAGCGTGAATAATGATAGAAGTGACAAAATACATCCAGGCTCCAAAACTCTTTTCATTCGCAGCTACAAAAGCCGAGAGATATTCACAGTGAGACCCAAAAAACAAAACTCTCAGCTCAGTCACTGGAACGACCACATAGCTGAACAGACAGGAATGAAACCTAAAGTGGACCGATCCAGTCCCAAGTCCACTGGCGCCGGATCACGAGTGAGTGTGAAAGTTGCCAGGTCCATTTGTTGTACTCGTGATGTTCATTGTGTGATCATTAGCTAAATGGACATGAAACTAGAGGAGCTTTTCTTTTTGCACCAAAGCGCTTGGAATGAGACGGAGCCGTACAAAAAGAGTCCAACAAGTTTGAGCGAGTTTTTTGCCAGTTCTGTCCGCAGTTTCATTCCCTTCATTTCTGGTTCAAATCCCTCTTGGTGCTGGCTCTTGATGTCTAACAGTAGGACAGTACTGTTTTTTGATTTTGCATCTCAGATATGAATGTATCCTTTTTTTTCTTGTCTCATTGTAAAACCTAATGAGGCGCTGCTCGATCCTGCTTCTTTAAGTTTTCTTCCTCCATGTGGTTCAATTCGGTGTCCGTGGAAAGTTGCCGCCGCGAACATTTCAGATAAAGTTGTGTGGGTTTGATACAATGCTGGCCTTCAAAGCCAGACTGAAAATGGTAACTCAGATTTAAGAGCCAAAACAAGGAGTAGATTAACCAACTTTTTTTTTGGCATCATCTCGGGTGTTTTTTTTAGCTATATTTCATAAGAGGAAGTGCTGTTGTACTCGTGTCAGCATGCCTGTGCTTGAGATAAAGCCACAAGACTTCAAACTCAGAGCCAAAACGTTTATAGCTGTTCTTTCAACATCCTGTCTACAACTGTGCTATTGTATCAACTACTACAGGTGTGATATATCAGCTAACATTGATGAATGTGTTAGTCAACTAAAGTTAGGGAGGAAAGTTTGCCATTTTTCAAATTAGCTGGAGACTGAAATAAATAATGGTGCTTTTTTACGACCTAAAAACACAAATAATACCATAATAAACAAGAGTGACTGTTTCTAATTTTTAAAAGTGCAGTTAAGTGAAAAGTCACTGCTGCTATGAGAGTCACAAATGATTGACTTTGACTTTCCCAAGGGTTTTGAGACACAGCATACTACTTAAATGCCTCAAAGCCATTAGGTTTTCTGATCATTTATTTAGGTGGTTTGCCAACGTCCCTCTGGAAGAACCCGAGCTATTAAAGGGATATTCCGGCATAGTCACGCGCTCAACCAAAACGCCACTCTATAGCCACAAATAATGCTCAGAACAGCACCTAACTTCATCAACAGGACATATAGGGTCCCAGCCATAGTACTAGCCACCAAACATCTTTTTAACTTTGTCTAATTTCTTTAGCAAAGAGACAAAACACAACTCACCCACTCTCTTCCAGCAGTCGCTTGTTAGTAGCGAGACCTTGGGCCAGTCCCTTACAGACTGCTGTGGGGTGACGCAGCTCAAGGAAGAACATTTATGATTATTCCTCACAGAAATGCAATCAGACCGAGACGCTAAGGCAGAAGAACTACCGCGTCTGCAGTGTAAAATTATTAATATGATGTTTATTACTTTAAGGAAATGATTAAGTAATGATCATAAATGTTCTTCCTTGAGCTGCGTCACCCCGCAGCAGTCTGTAATGGACTGGCCCGAGGTCTCGCTACAAACAAGCAGCTGCTGGAAGAGAGTATTTACTTTATTTTACACTGAAATATCCCTTTAAATGCTTCAAAGCTATTCGCTTTTCTGAACATTTATTTAGGTGGATTGCCAACTTCCCCTCAGGAAAAACCCAAGGCTATTAATTTAGAAGGTACTACCTTAGAGGTGCTACAAATCCATTGGGTAGTACCACAATGTTCATTCCTCGGCCCTCTGTTATTCACGATTGAGATAAATTGTCTTGGACAGAATCAGCTTCTATGCTGACGACACCGTTATTCACTCTGTTCACCTATGCATGCTTCAGCTGTCCTATATCTTCAGCATCCATCTGATCAAGTACAAAGTCAGCGTATAAAAGTCACTACAGACAATATACGCAGAGGCTGGTCAGTCCACAGGGGGCGCCAAATTTGAAACAAACCAAAAAATCCTCACATGTACTTTAAGTTAACTACTTTGTTGAAGTTAGGTAAAAGTAACAAGAGTCTGTATATGTGAGCTGAAAGTGTGTTCTTTTGTAAGAGAATATTCAGTGCTGCTTTATCTCAAGAAGTCAAGTAAACAGAGGTCACTTTGCACATATGGGCAACAGGCAGATGCTTTTGTTTTCTTGGCAAGGAGTCTCCAACCTACAGATATCACTTGGCTGGGAATTAAGAAGCAGTTCTGCAACTTTCTTCCTTCACAGATTCTTTTTTTTTTTCTTTAATTAAACTTTTTCAAGAACAGTTCTAACAAGTATAAATTTACAATATTCATTTTTTAATTATTGAGGTTGTTATTGCATTGAAAAAAGGAGCGAATGGGTTTTTTACACAAGTTCGAAGATAAAAGATTAAAATTATATCTGCACAAATAATTAAAAATCCTCCCTCGCATTTACTTGCTTCTTTTTGATATTCAACAAAAGAACCACTCTCCTATTAAAATCAGTAATCAAGGGTGTTTGTTTAAGTGCTCTTTAAATACATTTGTACACACTTATAAAGCAGAAATGTCATCTGTAAAACCAAAGCTTATTGAGCTACTTCTGTCAGCTCAAGTGTTACAGATAAAACTCACCCAACTCGAAGTCAAGTGTCTCATGAGGTGAAAATAACACCCCAAATATGAAAATGTCATTGTGGCTTCTTTTCACAGCAGACAGGTCTATCCTTTCCCCTGAAGACGGGGTGTTTTAACACTCAATATATTCTGAAAATCCTGGAGATAACCTGTCTTCTTTGTTAAAGTTTAAAATGTGCTGACAATATACTGTCTGTGGGAAATTATAAAGTAGACAGATGACATCAATTTTTAAAAATCTGTTAGAATTCTCCATAAATGTGAGTCTGCAGAGGCTATTCGCTTCTAAAAAAGCAGTAAAATCCTCTGAATGTGATTACCTTTTGACTTCAAGTAGATTTTTTAAATGCTAAAAGAAATTTTGAAGAGTTCGGCATTGACGGTTTTTTAGACTACTTGTATTCCCACTTTAAGTGTGTCAGTTTGTGAAGTGTAAAGTTACTTTGTTCGATAAATAAAAGGCTGCATTGTGTAGAAGCCTGTATTATCAAACTCCTTTCTTTATTGTCGCAACACAATAGCAAATATTCAACATCTAAGGTCAAATTTCACAATGTTCGGCATATTTTCTGAAATGGTTTTTGGTTCCTCTAGAGTGCCTAGCCAGAATATTTTCAATACTCTTAAAATACCCAAGCGAGGAACGCATTTTTATATTTATTTCAAAAAATGCTTTTGTACAGATGAAATGAAGTAAGCCCAAAAATCAAAAGGTGTTCAACTTAAAATGATTAAAATTTCACAATTATTTTTGCCTTTAAAAGCTTTTATGATTATATTAACAATGAAAGGTCATTCTAAAATATGAGTCAAGAGTGTCCAACAAATATGATGGAGCTGTTTCCATTTGTTTATGATATGTTCCTGTAGAGACAGTGGACAAGCAGACTGGTATTAATCTGATTAGCTGCTTCTCGTGGACAAAAGAGGGCGTGGTCTAAGATGTTGTTCGATACGGTATAATACTGTTGTGTTTTACAGTAATCAATAATACTATGTCTAATAATTATGCATCAGATTTTACAGTGCTTTTTGTCAGTGACCTCAAAGCGCTTTACATTGGATACATCATTCATTTGCTCACGTTCACGCCCTGGTGGTGGTAAACTTCCTAGGTAGTCACAGCCGCCCTGGGACAGACTGACAGAAACATGGCTGCCAGTTTGCTCCTCTCTGACCACCACCACACAACACTCACAACCATACATCATTCATCAAGTAGAGGACACACATTGGGAGCAAGGTGGGTTAAGCGTCTAGCCCAAGGACACAACAGACAGACTAAGGATAGGGTGGGATTCGAACCACCAACCTTCTGGTTATTGGCTGACCTCGCTAGAACAGTTCATATTTTTAAATGCAAACTCAAGACCTTCCTTTTTAGTCTGTTTTTTTAGCTGATTTTTGTTTTATTCTTCTAGCCTCTCTTTTAGTCTACTCTTTTTATCTTATGTATTTTTCTCCACTTTAGTCCCAGAATTATTATTTTATGTTTTAACACTATTTGTTTATTTTCTTTTATTTTTTTATTTAAAAACTGTTTTATTATATGGTATTTTATTATTATTACAATTTTATTTCATTCTATTGGTTTTATCAGTTTAGCTTCAGCTACAGTGTTTCCCCATTTTAGTTTAAGATAGCGTTTCCTTGGTCCTCTGGGGCTTCCTGCTGAGCCCTGACTTGGTGTCCCAATGTACAGTCCATGTATAAAAAGTGCTCTATAAATAAAGTGATTGATTGATAGTATCAGCCTGTATACAGACCAACTGTAAAATCCACTCGCTTTGTGAGAACAGCATTTTTTCCCGTTTCTACCACATCCAGGGGCTTAAGATTAGAGTGTTTTTAGAGAAGGCCCGTAATCTCTAAATCGAGAATAATCTGTGATGAATTTAACGTTTATTTTAGTTCAATTGTGCTAGACAGAGGCTGCCTGTAGCATTGTCTGTTTGGAATTGCTAATCTGAGGGTGTGAAGCCAGGCCTCACAATTTGATTTGAGTTGATGAATCTGTACAGACCTCCTTTTTTCCACAAAGGTTACCCAAAGAATTGATAACAGTATTGGTAAAAAACTGGCTCCAGAAATGAAATCAATAATGGCATTGGTATCTATCAAATCTCGTAATTTTCCATCCTTGTGTAGATGATGGCTCACGCTGAAAGTCCTCAAATGAAACTTTAATTCCATTTGGCACAAATGCTGTTGCTCCAAATCCGCAGAGATGTCACAAATTATAAAAGACAAGTTTTACATTTTTTGATGTTTTTGATAAATTCAATCTTCAGCTAAGTTGCAGAATCAAACTATTTCTTTGGCAATTTGGTCGAAATGGGAAGATTCACCAACTGGGGAGAAAAAATACACTTGGTAAATTTCATTACACAATAACTACTCGGTTTTGAGATTTTTGGTGCGTCTAAATCTTGGGAGGGAAATAAAGAGTTTAAAAAGCGTCACAGACTGAACAAGAGCGTTTATTTATCCCATGTGGATCATGCAAACCATTGGTGAAAACTTAGCCACCTGGCCGGTCCCCTCAAAAACAATGTGCTCTGTACCAACAGGTTGGACAGATGAATTGTTGCCCCGCTGCTGGCAGGGTGAAAACTGCAATCACACTTGGCCATGAAACACTGAATCTGAAAAACAGCTTAATTATGTTTCCCTTTTTCACAAATAGTTGAATGGTAATGCGTTCCCCCATCAGCCTGGGATGAAATTCATAAATAAAACATGAATAAATAAATCATCTTAAGAGAGCATTTTTCCAGACTTTAAATCTCATAAAATGCAGCGTCCACACAGTTCACAGTCAACATGATGGGGGTTAAAAAAAAACACGCCATCATTTTTATTTTAACGGCGTCATCGCGACTCGCACAACAAGAGAGGTTTTTGAAGCTTGCCCTTGCTATCCCTTGCCCTCTATCCCCCTTTTTCTTACAAATCCATTTCTGCCCGGGACCCACTTCAATCCTTTAGCCCAAATGTCCATCACACTCTTTCTATTCATCCCCTCTTCTAAGGCCCCAGCTAAGAACACTTGAGCATCATATGTCCAGGCTACAAAGGCTCTCTCAACTACAAAGTGGAGAAGAGAGTGTAAAAAGGTCCAGAGATAAACCACAGGGCCTTTCATCATATTTATGCGGACCACATATACACCCCTGGGGTAGCAAATACAGCATTGCAGACATACTAAAACCTAAATCTTTCATTTCGCTTTCCCTGAAGGAGTGATCAGCTAAAACTCTTTAATCATGAAAACAACAGAGGCGCGAACTCCCTCAGTTACCTCCCTTAGATAAGTCCAATCATTGTGCTTTCTAATATTCCACCAGAGGACTCAAACCATTTCATAGTTAAATCAAAAAAAAGCAATTGCAATGTCACATTACTTCAACTTTACAATGACATTGCGGCGCTAAAAAGGAGGCTTTTGATGAATTTCTCAAAGAGCTAATAGGTTGTTTTCCCCAGTGAGTCACACCGCCTTTCTCATCCTATTAAAGCGTGGTTTGATGTGGATTTGCCTCTATGGCACGTCATCGCCAGTTAAAGTGGGATTTTTTAGGCGTTATCACAATGCTGTATGTCCAAATGCATGTAAAGCGCCTTTGAAAAGCGAGACGCCAGCAGGGCTGAAAAGCCTCAGAGAAGACGCTGATAGAAGTCTGTGTTAAAAGGAGAACACCCAAGGTTAGACTTTTACGCCACGCCAAACTCATGATCTTGGATTGTATCATCAGCGTCTACAAACACAGACAGCTGTCTCAGTACCCTGTGAGACTTTCACAGATGATGCCATCAGGTGTCACTTTTTTAGATCAGGTCCATTTAAAAGCCGACTCCATGAACCCTCGCTGACTTTTTTTTTTTTTTTATCATAAATAATATTACGAGTTTCTCTAAATCCAAAAATGCATCAATGTCAAAGCGTCCTGTAATTATTCCCATTATTTTGTTTTTGTCTGAGGGGCAACTTTGGGATTTGTCTTCATATCCTCGTTCCATTTTTGCCTCCATGCTGCTCGGCTTAAAGGCACCCCATGGACTTTTTATTGTAATCAAACACAGCTCTGTTTTGTTTATCGCCAAATGGATTGTATACACCCTTAAGGCTTAAAAAACATGTTGAATGCCCTTTTCTACTCCATAAAACTTTTGCAAAGCCTTTGTTTGGAGTTGTTTGAAATAATGACCCTGTTACTGCTGCTTTTTTCGCACAGAAAAAAAGGAAAAAAACACAGCTAGGGTGAAATCCAAAACTAGAGAATTACTTTATGCAAATGGACACAGAATATGCCTGTAAGCTAAGTATTAATTTTAAAAGACAAACAATAAATGATGCAAATCTCTGACTTATGTGGACCCGCTGAAAAACAGTAAATTACCCTAATGCTTAACACATAAAACCAAGGGTCAGCGTTTGCCTCCCACACCCCAGAAGATTTGGAAAACAACTTTAAAAAGACACTCCCCCACAAGTCACAAAGCATGATTTTGAAAGGACTGGTGATCTCGTAGGGTCAAAAACTGCATGAGTATAGCGAGATGGGGAAAATTCTGTACAAGAAACGAATTTAAACCATATTCTGAATAACTAAGATGAAGGGTGCACTTCAACTCTGGCAAAAATCTCGACTTTACGCCAACTCTGGAAATTTGTCAACAAATTCAACAGGAAATACTTGTTTAATATAAGTAAACAAATGTTTTTTGTGTTATCGCAACAATATCGGATTAGTTATCAATCAAATCATCTTTAGTTATCAATATTGCACAAAAATAAGCATTTGGTAATATCATGACTTGAAAGTAGAGGTCTTTTTACGCTGGTTCAATAAAGAGACGTTAGACGAAGAAGA